GGAGCATATACAAACCTGAGAGTTTTTTATCTAGCATTTCCATCAACTGGAGACAATCTCCTCGGCAGAACATAAACTTGAGCTAGAACCTGATTGTGTGAAATCAGGTTTGAGTCTCTAGAGATTATACATACAGCATTCAGAGCACAACATGGCATTCAAAAAATGACTATATTCAATTAGGGTTATATTAACCTCAAAGATGAGAAGTCTTACATGTACATCACTGTGATATACCTCAATTGGGATACCATCATGTTTTAACTGTAAATATTATTTAGACTCCACTTTGAACAGAAAGGACAAAAAATTAATTTAATGATGTAATCTTCACTACATTTATTATATGTGACCTTCAGGAAGTAGTATTTTGAAATAACTTCAAAATATTTGTACATCCTTGCCTATTCAATATCATCACTAATGATTTGCCACTTGTTGCCCCATCCTTTGGATGTTAAGTGAGTCATCTGATTGCTAAGTGAATCTGATTTTCCCCAGTGGCTTTGCTTGTTGGAAGCCAGCTGAGAAGATTGCAAATGGTGATCACATGATCCTGGGACACTGGAAGTGTCATAAATACATGCCAGTTACCAAGTGTCTGAATTTTGATCACATGACCAATGGGATGCTGCAACGGGCATGGCAAAACCAGGCATAAGTCATTTTTTTCAGTGCCATTATAACTCTGAACTGTTATTAAAGGAATTGTTGTAAGTAGAGGACTACCTGTATACAGATTATCTTTTTGCATTATCATATTCTTATGCATCCTTCAATTACAGAGCGACATCAAAGTTATTCATTATATGGTTATGAATTTTAATTAATAAAACTAATCACTTTCTATATAAGCGTACATTATAAGTTGGTCAATGTAGAAAAAAATGAATGTGAAACCAGTACATAACATTAAGACTGGATCTCCTCTTGCATCAGTATCTCTATACCACTGAAGATAAATATCTAGACTTTGCAAGCTGAATTAGGCAAAGTCCTGCTAAATTACTGTATGTATCACATTTTTAGTCAGGCAAATAATAGACGATCATGTCCCTTGCCTAATGGAGGGAGAGAAGCCAAATTCTGAATACAAGATCCCATTATATGGACCAAGTCAAGTTACCCGTTACCACCACTGTGGCATCAGGATGCTATATTGTTAAAATGTAGGAAATATCCTCCAAATATTTTGAATCCAAAATTGAAGTTCCGGAGAAAACAAATGATAATCTTATTGCAACAGTGATTAAACTTAACAAAGCAGGTCGAAGTTAACTGGTTAGATGGCTTTAATTTGGTAACACTGGTCTTCTAACGTTCACCTAGATTTGTAACTTGCATTTCCGCACGTGTTTACCCACGGCTGGTGAAGCTCCGGTCTTCTCAAATAAGTTTTCTGCATAAGACACCGAAATTAAACTAAGCATACCGGCTGGTTTCCCACAGACTAATATGCTAAAGTGTAACTACCCAATACATGGTTCAGCCATGTGAATACAACCTATTCATATCCTTGACAGCCACCTCTTCATGTTTAAAATGCGTGGACAGAAATTATAATTTAATCGGAGCAATGAATGCGGACCTTAGCCTCTTTCTGTCACTGAAAGACACGAGCGAAACCACCTGCGTATTCCAACAAACTTCCCCACCCACAGAAACGAGAGCTGGAAGACAAAACAGAATCCAGAACGGCTGCCGGAAAGCAATGCATCCCGCTTCCGGAAGTGACGATAACCTTTGCGGCCGAGCCGGCCCCTGGGAAAGTTAGTTGGGAAACCCTGTTCTTTCTTTCGCTGCTGCTTTTGCCGAAGGTGGGTGGATGTCGCTCTCGCTGGTCCAAGCTTTGCCGTTGGGGGGGGGGGGGGCTCTCGGTCTGATCACTCACTAGCTTTGTCGGTTTGTCTGTCTCTCTCCTTCAGGCGCCATGCCAGCTAAGGGGCCCCTCCAGAGCGTTCAGGTTTTCGGCAGGAAGGTGAGGCTTGCGTGGTTGTTTGAACGGGCCTAGCTCGTTGTCTCCTCTTCCGCCATAAAAAGCCGAGCAATTGAGGGGGCAACGGGATGCTATTGTTGCCCGAAAGTTGCCTTGGCCCGGTCGGCTTTCCGGAGCTGAAAAGAATCCCTCGTTTCTCATTTTCCATGCGCGCAGTGACACTCTTCCGCTGCCACGTTTTCTCACTTGAGCGGCGGGATTTGGCCTGAGCCGTGGTGAAGGAAAACGGCGCGTTAACTGCGGCACATGGGATGGAAGGACGGAATAAGCTATTTGACTGTTCAGGGGATGGGCTTGAGGGTGATGGGACGGTGCTATTTCATGATAGATAGATAGATAGATAGATAGATAGATAGATAGATAGATAGATAGATAGATAGATAGATAGATTGTATTATTTTTTTTCCTGTGGGCACAATGGCACACATTAAAAATGAAATTTAGTTGCTTTCTCGCAAAGTGTACACATACATAACACATTAAAAACATACTATATATAACGTATAGTTGCCCCATGAAATAGGGTATCCACAATTACCGTCATTCTTTGCTATTAACCAAAATAAACCATACAATAGGAATTGTTGCGTATCTCTCCTGAAAGTTATCTCAAAAAATCTCATTTCATCTTGTAATCACTAGACTCCTTTTTTGAGTTTGATATTTTAATTGACGATTGCACCTATTGGGTTTCTTGCTTCATAGCAACAAGTGAAAATGGGATAGATAAAAGCTTCAGTTGATTGGTTTCAATAGCAAAGTGTATATACAGTGATAACGTGTGTAGTGGAATATTTTGGATGTTTATCTTTGATGCAGTGCTGATAGTGCTTTCCTGTCATAAAGGCTGTAATTTTGCCTAATGTTTTTATTATTGTCCCAACCAACCCCCATTTAGAAAACTGCAACTGCAGTTGCTCACTGCAAAAGAGGAAATGGACTTATTAAGGTGAATGGACGGCCTCTGGAAATGATTGAACCCAGAACTCTCCAATACAAAGTAAGTGATTTTCTATGTATGTATAATACATTTTGTGCGTATGTATAAATTAATAACTGTTTTCTTTTGTCCCCCCCCCCTTTTTAAAAAAAACTATAGTTCTGATAAAAGGACAGTGAATTTCAAGTGGGTTTGAACTGTAATTTGATAAATATACTTAGCATTTTTGTAAAAACTTTTTATCTGTGTTATTCAGAATCCCTTGCATTGTTATTAAAGTTTCAATACTTTGCATGCATTTTTGGAGAATTTGGCAAGAGTTATATTGATGTTTGTCTTGAATTACTTCTGTCAGTAGTAATTATTCCTGGTATGCAGTACTTTTCTGCTGAAATGCAGTAATTGAAAGCTGTAAAGCATTTAAGCAAATGAAATGGTTCTATTTGTTTCTGTGTTATTGCATGCAAGTTAGTTGAAACTCTTGGAGAAGTTATTTAAGGGTACTATCTTGAAATATAATGAATTAATTGAAGTGGATGAATTGTTAAGATGGCAAGATATAAGGTTTTTTTTGTGAAAACAGAATTATTTTCTGTAATTTCCCTTGGTGATGTAAAAGTAGTAAATTCAAAGAATATTGATAGCCTGTATTCTATAAATCTTCAGACATTTCTGCGTTAAATAAGAAGCTTGTTTAAGACTATAACTAAATGCTTTTTCTCCCCCAGCTGCTTGAACCAGTACTTCTTTTGGGCAAAGAACGCTTTGCAGGAGTTGACATAAGAGTCCGTGTGAAGGGTGGCGGTCATGTGGCACAGATATACGGTATGAGCAGTTCATATTTTACAAGTAGAAAAAAAATATTAAATGTATCAGCTATCCAAATACAGCAACATGTGTATCTGTAAAATGTGCTATCACCTGTGTTATGGTTTGTTAATTGGTTTCTAACCTTTTCTCACCTGGTATTTCTGGATGTATTTTACTGACTCCTAGTTAGATTGATTGCTAGCTAATCCACTTGATTTACAAGTTTAGGGAAGTTTGCTTTTATTATATTTGATGATTTGCTCTGTACCAGATTATTACTCCTTGTAATTGTTTATACATAAGTATAGATGCTAGAGAGCCAATTTGATCTAGAGATTAAGGCACCAGACTAGAAAGCAGGAGATTATGAGTCCTGCTTGAAACTTTAGCCATGAAAGCCAGGTGAGTCACTTTGGACTAGTCACTCTCAACCCACCGGTTGTGGGGAAAATAGGAGGAAGGTATGTTGGATATGCTGGCACCTTGAGTTATTTGTAAAAATAAAAGTGGGATACAAATAAATACTAATGTAAATCTGAAGTACTAAATTGTTCCAAACACTCCACAATTAATATAGCTGATTAACTTTTACTAGAACTTGCAGCATTTTTCTTTTAACTTGATATTTTATTTTACTTATTTCTTCTACAGCAATTCGGCAATCTATTTCCAAAGCACTGGTGGCTTATTACCAGAAATGTAAGTTTTCATTAACTTTATTTTTCCACTACTTTTCATCTCATTTAAGATCAATTGTATATTGACCATATAAATTAAGTGCTGTTCAAAGACTTTATTTCTTGGTGCTTCTTCTAAATTACCATTTCTGAGCAATGTTATAGGAATGATTATAAACAATAGCTTCAAAGCCTAATACAAATGTTTTATTTTTCTCAAGATGTTGATGAAGCTTCTAAGAAAGAAATAAAGGATATTCTCATCCAGTATGATAGGACCCTGTTAGTTGCTGATCCTCGACGTTGTGAGTCCAAGAAGTTTGGTGGGCCTGGTGCTCGTGCGCGTTACCAAAAATCCTATCGTTAAAAGGAAACTTTTTGTCTATTTGAAATAAAGGATAAAATTTAATAAATAACTTGTGTTTTGAAAACTATATTTCAATCTGTTTTTGTAATGTTTCAAGAGGATGCTTAATATGTATGATATAGAATATATTCATGTGATTAGAGTCAGTTTTAAAATTATATTAGCTTATTTCAACTTCTTCTTTTAGTGCAATCTTATGATTGAATTATAACTTAGACACAGTTCCGTAAAAGGATACAGTATATTTGGGTTAACACTTAATAATTCTATCTTACATGAATAAGTATGTTCTCTTTTGGTTTCTTTGCCTGGACTTCAGCTACATAGGTTTTTCTTAAAACTTGCAGGACATTTTGGAACAAAGTCCTCCACTCAGTGGATGCTGTAGATTGCGACCCTAAACTCAATAATAAATATTTTTACCACAATCCAACAAATCAAATATGGAATTCTGGAGATAATAGTAAAATAGTAATTACCTTCTAATAATTAAAATTACTATGTTTTGTTTGTATAATTTATTTTCAAATTACAGAAATAAGTCCCTCATGTATTCCCATGTGTTGCCGGATTCTGTATCTACCAGGTATTAATTTGTAGTGTTAACAGATTTGCACAAAAAGTTCTCAGTCCTGCCTATAATTCCCTCTATAATGAAAACAATATTTAAACTCACAAAAATATATATTAAATATATTTTAAAGGATGTTTCAAACACCATTTGTATCATGTTCTCCATAGTTCCTTTGATAGCCTAACTACTATTGTAAAGGACTCTGATTCTGAAAAGTTAAATGAGGTTGGGCCTGATTTGGATGAGAGACCATCAAGAAATCCCTGAGCTGAAGATTTGATTGGAAGTAGAAAAGATCCTGGAAGAAAGTAATAGAAAAATGCTTCAGTTTTACTAAGAAAACGACATGGATGTATCAAGTCACCAGAGTTTGGGGGAGATTGTGATACTTAAGAGAATTCTTAGGTGGAGACAAAAGCTTCATATATCATAATTAAAGAATATTTTTGATTTCTCAACCATCTTTGTTGTAAAAGGGAGGAGAATTTGCTATTTGAGAAAAAATGCTATTGACTGAAACTAAAGCGCCTCATTTATTTGGTTTCACATTTTACTAAATAATTTTGCATCTTAAGCATGGGCATCTCCACTTCCAAATTGTTATCTCCTAACTGATTAATAAGAGTTCTGCTACATTCCAGGATAACATTTTCTATCTGTTGGAAAGGAAAATTGTTAATCTTGGTGTTCTGGGAATGTTTATGTGTACACATTTGTACGCTATATACTTGTATATGCTTCTTTTAAAAAGGATGCTTTTAAGTATGTAATGGAACATTAATGCTTAAGTTACATCTTTGTTCAGTAGTACCAGGTTTTTCCATATATCAGCAGATACTTTTAATCATATGTAAGAGACCATCCTGTTCCATTTTTATTCCCATGGAAGATATTCTGTTCATATTAAAAGCAATAACCTTATGTTCCAGTCCTAAATAGAACGGAAGTGAGGAACTTCTTCCAGACACACAGGATTTCCTTGCTATTCATTATTTTCTTTATTGCTTTTACTTGATGTAAATTGCCCAAAGTTATTCTGAGTCAGTTGGCCTATAAATCTCACAGTTTCTTTATTGCTGGCATAAAATATTTTAAAGCACAGGACACTGGCTTTTTATTTCCACACAAATGAGTTAGAAAGATAACTCATCTTTTTGAACAATATTTCAGTTTGCTGTCAGAAAAGCAGATATCTAGACCCCAAACATTTCTGCAATTACAGCAACTGCTGACTAGTGAAGAAGGAATAGAAGAAACTACTAGACAATGAGCTGAAAGAGCCTAATAATAGATTTGATACTACATTCCTACAGGGGCTAACAAAATCATGTTTCCAAGTGAAGAAGCATCTTGTAATATCAATATAGAAGGCTTTGTAATGCTCTGTCCTATGGTAAAATATATTCCTGTGTACTAAGTTGATAACACACTACTGGAGTTGTCTCCCTTGTTTCCATTTGAACACTGCCTTATAGTTAATTAAATGTATCAAATGATATCAAGTAATTGATAAGGATTTTCCATCAGAACTGATTTTAAACTTGATATCAGTTTAAAATAGAATTGATCTAAACTTTTATTCTATTTGTATATGGTCAAATTAATGAACACCCTTAATAGTTTTTAGCAATGTAGTAAAAACATTCAACTAACTACAATGTCCGTGGTAAATATAATTAAACTTGAAAATTAATAATGAAAAAATAACAAAAATATAAGACAAAATGGAATGCAACAATTTTTAAAAGGCATTAACAGTTAACTAGTCATCATATGCCCAGAAGTGCATTTCAATGTGACTCTTCATTCCAAGGGAGACATTTCCATAAGGGAACAGGGCCTGAGAAAGCACCAAAATTTGATCCATAGCAGTCAAAAAGCTCTATAAAATAGCGAATAGTAAAGTAAATGTAAAAATCAATCTCAGATTACCTCTTTGGTGGAGAATGAACTGGAAATGGCCAAAATGCCATAATATTCTAGATTGCTTGTGAAGAATACTAGAATGTCAGAAAAAAAAACATGTTCCTCTTTTAGGGCAGGGCTTATAACTTGCTTGCTTGCTAGTTATTTGCACTCTGAAAACATTACATTATTATTTTTTTTCAAATACTTTTCTAAATGTACATATAAAGGGAGAAAGACAGTGGATCCTGATCGCTAGAAGCTTCAAAGGTGACATGCAAAATGATCTCTTTTAAGTATTGTGATTTGGCAGGTCTGCTCTCCCCAAGCATTATAAAGGACTGATTCAGTTCCACAGAGGAGTAGGAGCGTGGGGGCTCATGTAACTAATACTGATACAGGTTGCCATGCATTGCTAATGAGAAAAGCCTGGCCAAAGCATCTGCAGCATTTTCAAAGCTCAAAAGCTGTATGCAGCAAGCTGGTTTCATTCCCTACTACCACTTAACATTTCACTTTTTCAAACTGGAAAGAGTCTGCAAATTATTAGTGACTTTTAAAATGCCTTCCTAATTAAGGGCATCAGTCTGGACAATTTTTTTTACCTTAAGCAGCTACACTGAAATGAACCTAGTGAGAAAAATCAATTTCATGATACTGTGGCACATTTTGGGGGTTCACATTCTGTTTTTAACTTTCAAAGGTAAGTCTTCGTTTTATTTTTAAATTTAACATTGCTTAAAAACATTTATAAATATGTTCTTTATTTTTTCCTTTTGGAAAAAGTAACATTTAGAAAAATAAAGTGTTTTATCCATTCTTTGAAACTAATTGTAATTATAATATTATTAAAAAGAGGGTTCAAAGATATTCTTTGGATTAAAAAGACCAGTGATGTTTACTAAGAATTAAGTCCTATTGTGTCTGAAGGGTTTTATTAATAGGTTGTATTCCACATGTATTACTCTTCTCCGTAACAATTTTTCTCATATTAGCTAAAAACCAGTTAACTAATGTGTTGACATGTCAGCATAAATATTTAATTAGTAATAGTATTATATGGATGATTCTGTCATTCTTGTTGGATAGTTAAAAGAGTATTTAAGGAATTAAAAATCTCCCCTTTTTGAAAAAAAAAAACAACCCCCAAATCTTTTAATTTTAGTAACTGAACTCCAGTAAAAGACTGCCCTTAGAGCTCAGACTATTGATATAAATTCTAGAAGAGTGTGAGAGAGAAAGAATGATTGATTTTCATTATTTTTATGCAATAGACTCTATCTGTGAATTACATCTCCTGAAAAGAGCTGCAAGGTGAGTTTGAGTTCCTGTTTGTTGATAATAATAACACATTCATGTTGAGGATTATACTAACATTGTACTAATATTTAGAAGTTTAAGATTTTTTTTTAAAAAAAAAAACTAAGCAAAGCTGTTTTAAACAACTTTTACAATAATTCGGTGTTTTTCAAAGCATAAACTGTCAGAGAAGGATTGCCCAAAGATATTTGTATGATGTACACAACAAATTTATAATTTCAGAAATCCTTATAGGGCACACACTTTTTACACTCGAAAGAGCATGATTTTGAGATACTGCTTGGAAACTGAGAAATCCCACTTAGGAAAAATCTTAATTGTAGTAGCATGTTTTGAGAAAATCTATTCATTTTCTGTTAAGCCTTATTTAATATGGAACCCAGAAATCAAGCACAGGATCCCTTAGCTGTTGCCTCAAATCTGTGTATGTTTCTTAAACTTTTTTTCACTCAGGGCTGCTTCCCACTTTTAATAAAAATGGAGGATTCCCAAAGAGCTTTTGTTTTTATGAGTTGTATTTATTTATATTTGCCATATAAAAATGAAAATTGATGCATTTGTTGCTGTTACTGCTTTTCATGACTGATGGGATTTTAATATTGTGTTATTTTTTTAACATAGACTGGCAAATAACTTTGATTTTGCAAACCCGTGAGAGGTTCTAGGGGTTTTAGGACCACATTTTAACAAACACTACCTTAGGTCATGTATGTCTAGTCTGGTATCATGCAAATGTGTTGAGGTTGCAACTCCCAAAATCGCCAGCTCACAGAGGAAATGCAATATTATGATAAATGTATTGATAGTAAGGACGGAAGGAAGGAAGGAAGGAAGGAAGGAAGGAAGGAAGGAAGGAAGGAAGGAAGGAAGGAAGGAAGGAAGGACTTTAGCATAAAATATTATAAAGGCCAGCCAGATAATATGTTCAGTAAGTCTAAGCAGTAAGGTAAAAACAGTAATAAGCTGTTAATTTTCATAACAAGATTCAAAAAGCATTTGCTAATACTTTATATATTGGAAAATGTGAACTTGAATATTTAGGCTGATTACCTATTCTGCTCCTAGAGTAATCCATAAAACAAATTTACATTTTTCTCAGCTCTTTCATTACAATACCAACTGCACAAAATCAGGAAGATTATGCTTAGATTACTGATTCCCACTTTGCTCATATCTAATAAGAGCAACTTGATTTTAGATTTGAATCAGTTATTGGATCTTTCAGATTATTTTTTTTGTTTTGCTGGTCCCATTATTAATCTTATAATTAGCCCCAATATTACCCTTTTAATAACAGGTAGGACTACCTGTATTAGGCAATCTTGGCTTATCATGAAAAGTTAAGCTTGGCTGGATCTAATTATTTTGATTGGAGATCACTAGCACATTCAACCAATTAAAATGGATAGTTGAAAACTATATCCTGGAGGGCTGTGGCCACTTCCATACTGTTGGTAAAAAAAATTAAATGTAAGTGTTCATGAAGTCCCAAGGAACTGAGATTGACTCAAGGGAATCTTTATCTTACTGATAGTTATAAATACTATCACTTATAACCATTCATTTAATGACTGTTCAAAGTTACAACAGCACTGTAAAAGTAATTTATGACAATTTTTTACACTTATGACTGTTGCAACATTGCCATGGTCAGATGATCAAAATTTGGCCACTTGGTACTGGCATATATTTATGACAGTTGCACTGTCTCAGGGTCATGTGGTCACCATTTGTAACCTTCCCAGCTGGTTTCTGACAAGCAAAGTTAATGGGGGAAGCCTGATTAGTTTAATAACTGCATACATAATAACAGCAGTGATTCACTTAATAACTGTGGCAAAAAGGTTATAAAATGGGACACAACTTACTTAACTGCCTTGCTTAACAATAGAAATTTGGGTTCAATTTTGGTTGTAAGTTGAGGACTAACTTTGAGGATTTTTTTGGAAAGGAATTCCCAGCAAATAATTGATGAGATAAAATTAGTCTGTTGCAAGTTACACATCTAGAGATACAACTAGAGAGAGGAATTGAATTGCAGTAGTTAATACTAATGCAAACTAGTGGTATGAGTTCTGAATGTGTTATGTACGTATAGCCCTGACAATGATAATAATTTATTCTGTCAATGACCAGCAAAAATTCCCCTCACAAAAAAAGACAACACCAAGAACAATCAAGTAGATGAGATAAAATACAAAGTTAAAATAACACATAAAAATATAATGGTGCATTAATTAGTTATTCAAGTGCAAATCAAACATTACAGCCTATGAAGTAAAATACATATTGTCTAAAAACAAAATAGCTAGTATGTGTTGAATCTAAAGTGATCAATAAATCAGAAGTGATTATTTCCTAACCAGTTATGTCTTATTTTCATTGGGCAACACAGAATTTGGTAACTGTACATGTGGTAGTTTCATAGACAGTTTATAGCAGGGATCTTCAAACTTGGCCCTTTTATGACTTGTGGACTTCAACTTCCAGAATTCCTCAGAGAAATTCTGGGAGTTGAAGTCCACAAGTCATAAAAGGGCCAAATTTGAAGACTTCTGGTTTATAGTTTCAATTCTTTTTGAAGCAGGCTCACATGAAGTGCTCTTCCTGGAAATTTGTATATTAAGGGCAGAATATAAGTAGACCTGACATCCCTGCAGAGCTTAAAATGTAGTAATATATAACTCCGAGTTTGAGTGAGTTAGTGAACTCACTGATTCTGTCATATTGACCCATTGCCCTTTTCTAATTCTAATGAAACAATTCCTTTTATTTTTTCATTTCTTTTCAATTATTAAATGTATCCAACTCTTACTGATTTTTCTATGGTAATATTTCTAACTATAATTAATGTCCATGAGCAAAAGATTGATATCTGTTGTACTTGTAAAAGAGGGGATGAAAAGGGAAACAAACATGCACATTACCTGTTTTTTGTTTTTTTTTTTAAAAAAAAGCTTAGCTCAAGAAAGGTGCCTTTGATGAAGTGAGATAAATCAGAATGAAGCACCTCTCTCACGGGAGTCTGTTTATTCACAACCTTTGCTTATACAGGATTCTCTTTGTTTTCTTCCAGGAATGAATTTACTGTAGTTCCTCAAAAAGGAGATCTCTTAGCAGCTGAGGTAGGCTATACCTCAAAAGGAAGAAGAGAAAAGGCACACATACACATACACACACACACACACACACACACACACACACACACACACACACATTTGCCAACAAGGGGTGCTTGCTATCCCTACAATGAAGTCTTTGTAAAACAGAATGGAAATGCAAATATCACGACAGGAATGAGTGCAGTAGTTTTTCCATAATGTACCTATTTTCCTGTAATTCTCAAAATGCAAACCTACATTTAACTGTCCATTCATTTTTTGTAACTAGCTTATTAATCACCCTAATGCATTAAGTGACGCGCAGTAGAAAAAAGGTGTAGAAAAAAAGGACCTGAAATTGTGTTGGTGCTTTGCAAAATGCACAATTGGGAAACCGTAGATGAGCTCGCTTTCAGATGTGACAGTTCTATCTGTTCCACAATAGATTCCCACAAACAGATGTTATACTTGTGAAAAATCTTTGGGTCTCACTTAATCTGAGGTACAGTGGCTACAAGAAGTCTATACACTCCTGTTAAAATGCCAGGTTTTTGAGATGTAAAAAAATGAGACCAAGATTAATCACTTCAGAATTCTGTCCACCTTTAACATATAAGCTGTACAAGTGGGGGGGGCAAATAACAATAAAAAACTCACAATAATGTGGTTGCTTAAATATGCACACCCTTAAACTAATACTTTGTTGCAGGACCTTTTGATTTTATGGCAGCATTCAATTGTTTGGGTAGGAATTTGTCAGCATGGCACATCTCGCCTTCGGAATCTTTGCTCATTGTTCCTTGCAAAAGTGCTCCAAATCTGTCAGAGGGGGAGGGCATTTGTTGTGCACAGCCCTCTTTAGATTACCCAATAAATTTTAAATTGGATTCAGCTGGAACCAATTTTGGATCATTCCAAAACTTCGATCTTCTTCTGATGAATGCATCCTTTTGTTGATTTGGAAGTATGCTTTGGGACTTGTCATGTTGAAAGATTAAATTCCTGTTTATCTTCAACATTTGAGCAGAGACCTGAAGGTTTTGTGCCAAAATTGATTGATTGTTTGTTCATAATTCATAATTCCATTCACCTTGACTAAAGCCCTAGTTCCAGCTAAGAAAAACAGCCCCAATGCTGCCATCACTATGCTTCACTGGGAGTATGGTGTATTTTTGATGATGTGCAGTGTTGTTTTTGCATCAAACATACTTTTTGTAATTATGGCCCAAAAGTTCAATCTTTTTTCAGACTTGATGTAGGGTTTTGCAAAAAGTAGCCAGGCTTGGATGTTTTTCTCTAAAGAAAAGACTTCCGTCTTTCCACCTACTCCGCATATGAAGAATATGGGAGATTGTTATCACATTTAGCACACAACCAGTATTTGCCAGGAATTCCTGCAGTTCCTTCAATGTTGTGTAGACCTCTTGGTAGCTTCTTATACCAGTTTTCGTCTTGTTTTTTCATCAATTTTGGAGGGACATCTATTTCTTTATAATGTCACTGTTATGCCATATTTTCTCCACTTGTTGATGATTGTCTTCACTGTGTTCCATGGTATAGACAAAGCCTTGGAAATTTTGTGTTTCCTTCTCCAGACTGATACCTTCCAACAATGAGAATCCTTTGATGCTTTGTAAGCTCTTTGCAGAGACGGCTTTTGCTTTAAAGAAGCAATCAGCTTTTCAGAGTAAATGTCAGAAAAATCCTACCAGATCACATGAACTTCATAGTCACATTCCTTCTTGTAAGAGGGTATGAACAGTTATGCAACCACATTATTTTTGTTTTTTATTTTTTATTTTTTCCTTACTAAACAATTTCAATTTGTTTTTCAATTGGCTTGTACAGTTATAAATTATATTTAAGGCGGAAAAATTCTGAAATTATTTATCTTAGTCTGATTATTTTACATCTCAAGAACCTGACATTTTAACAGGGGTGTGTGGATTTTCTATACCCACTGGAGATGAAGACTGAACAACCTACTGAAATCAAATTCACGTTAGCTTAAATGTATGTAGTTTAATCTTCATCTACTTTATCTTTTAGATGAGAAGGAAAAACATTTGGGTTAGCCTTATAGCGGGACCAACCCACATAATATGGTGTCCTTATTCCATATTCAGTTAGAATAGGTAATGTTCCTTCAACCCTGGTGGTTGATACTTGAGTATTATTTCACACTGATAATGGGATTGTTTCTTCCATTCAAGAAAAGGGTGGGAAACAATCTTAGAACATGCAGGATGGGTTATAAAACATTCACAACTTGCTCTTTTCCAGGACCTGTTGCCTGCAATGAGGGCTTTATTTTGCTGTCAAGGCAGGTTATGTTGCAAGAGAATGTTTACTCAACTAAGTGGAGAAGCTGATTGGATTTATAGCGTAATAAATTATATTATGGTTTACTTGTTTTGGGCATAGCATTTTGTGCAAACTGTGGTTTATTCAATAAGCAGAAATTGTGGCTTAGAAAGAGTTAGTCAATGTAGCTAAAATACAAGATACATCACTGAAATTTCACTGATGCAGCAAATTTCAGGAGTCCCACTGTTGTGTCCTGAGCCTGCAAAAGCAGGCTCGGGACATTGCTATGGTCCCGGGCTTCTGCAAGCTGCCCAGGACCAGACTGAGCAGTGCCAGCCTTGCGCGCATGCGTGAGGCGCAAAAGCGCGCCATTCCCTGTAACTGTTTTGCCCAGGGATCCGGTCACAAGATAAGAGTCTCTGAGTTTGTTGTTGGAGTGAGCAGAAGAGAAATAAAGAGCTTTTGGTTCCAAAATGTGTGATCTTCCTTCGCCATTAAACCAAGGACTTAACACTGGCGACGAAGGTGGGATTGCTAGCAAGATTAAAGAAGAAAAGCTGTAAGACTTACCCAAGGAGTCCTTGAAGAAGGGAAGATGGCATTAAACACAGCGTTCTAGCCTGCCAGTACAGTGTGGCTGGAGGTAAGCTCGGCTGATAGACTCCTTCCCAGGCCTAGAAGCAAGGATGGCGAAGATAGGTCGTCTATCCAAATTCGATGTTGCACACCCAGAGAGATGGGAGTCCTATGTTGCCAGAGTAGAAAATTATTTTAGGGTGAACCAGGTCAGAGAATATGGCTTGAAGGCTGCAACTCTGTTGTGTATCTGTGGTCAGGATGTGTTTGAAATTGTGGAAAATCTGGCGGCCCCTGCTCCTCTAGAGTCTTAATGTACACAGACTTAAAGAAGTTATTGAAAGAACATTTCCAGCCCAAGATGTCTGTCATTGCGTGGAGACACACGTTTGAACAGAGGGACCAGAGGGCAGGTGAATCAGCCAAGGAATTCATTGCAGCCTTGAAAAGAGCAGCCAAACCACGTGAATTTAAAGATTTGCAAGGAAGGCTGAGAGACCATTTTGTGTGTGGTTTAAGAAACAGAGACTTACAACAAAGAATCTTTGCAAAAGAAGATATTTCATTCCAAGATGCTTTGAGAGAGGTGATGGCTGAGGAAGCAGCAGGTGGGGCAATAAAAAATATGCGGCCTATCAGGAACAACCCAGAGGCAGTCACCGTGCACCATAAGGGCGCTCAAGAAGGATCAGAGGAAGACCCTGAAGAAAAGGTGGATCGCCTTTACCAGTCTGTGGAAAGGAAGCAGAAGGAAGGCAAAGATAAAGCTCCAACTGCGTCCAAATGCTTTGGGTGTGGAGGTCGCCATAAGAGAGCCAACTGCAGGTTCCGTTCCGCCATCTGCAGAGCATGTGGTAGGCAAGGCCACATAGCATCCGTCTGTTTGGGTCGCCAGAAGGTACAACCTTGGGAAGAATTGTGTCTGAAAGGTACCAGGATCCCCAGCCAAAATAGGGTGGGTTTCTGCGCGTCACGCAGGAGTATTTGCAGAACAGGCACACACAAACCCCTTTAAAAAAAGCTGTCGCTTAAGGTTGGGTTACAAGGGGTTTCTTTAGTTATGGAGCTGGACACTGGATCTGCCCTTTCAATTATTTCCATTCATACATTTAGAAAGATTTGTAACAGCAGTGGGTTCCAGGCCAAACTTAGGCCATCCAACGTAATCCTAACAGATTTTCAAAATTCCAAGGTGTGTGTAAAGGGGGAGGCCACCCTTACAGTGCAACACAAGGAAGGTCCATTGGATATGTTGGTTGTTGTTGGGGATGAACGAACGAGCCTTATAAGACTTGATTGGTTTGAGGCCTTGGGAATCCAGGTTACTGGGCTGCAACATTTGCAAATGTTGGGCCTTGCAGAAGTCTGTGAGGAGTTTGCAGATGTGTTTAGTCCACAGCTTGAGTCTTACAAGGGGCCTCTAGTTTCATTGAGACTTGACCCTACCATCATACCCATTAGGGTTAAAGCTAGGAAAGTACCTTTTGCATTAAAGGGTAAAATTGATGCTGAGCTGGATAAATTGATCCAGCAAGGCATTTTAGAGCCTGTAGATTCAAGTCCATGGGAAACTCCCATAGTCACGCCTCTCAAAGCGAATGGGGACATACGCATATGTGCAAACTACAAGTGCACACTAAACAAGGCGCTGCAACAGCATGCGTACCCAGTACCAATTGTCAGCCATATTTTGGCCTCCCTCAAAGGGGGGCGAGTTTTTGCAAAGCTAGATCTGACACAGGCATATCAACAATTACCTGTTGATGAAGCAGCTGCTGAGGCACAGACCATTGTAACGCATAGGGGTGCATTCAAGGTCAAGAGACTGCAATTTGGGGTAAATGTAGCTCCTGGCATATTCCAAAGTGTCATGGAGAGTACACTGAGGGGTATCCCGGGAGTTTGCCCCTATTTTGATGATGTCCTTATTGCTGGAGAATCTACTCAGAATTTAGCAGAGAGGTTAAGGGCTGTTTTGCTCCGTTTTCGAAAAGCAGGCCTAAAACTAAAAAAAGACAAGTGTAAGATAGGAGTCACTTCTACTGATTTCTTAGGATTCAGGATAGATGCTCAAGGTATTCACCCTGCTGAATCTAAATTGAAGGCTATACAGCAGGCTCCTAACCCCAAGTCTAAAAGTG